GAAAGATACAGAATTCTGCTGTGCCTGGATTTCAGATGTCTGTCCTGCCAAAATATAAGAAAAATATGCAATAAAATGAGAAAAATAATGTAGCATAAGGAGATATGAGGAACTGGAGATAGGGCTAAATGGCGCATGAGGACAGAGAAAAATGAGTTGACAAGACAATGAAACTAGACATGTCAGAAATGTCAGATGTATGGCTTTTGTGGAAGATGTAAAAAAGGATCACAAAGTGACAAAATGACACAGATGTATACTGCCTATAAAAAAGCACATTTCACCCTCATTCTTCAAGAATTTAATGTTATTCTGTACCTTTGCAGCTCTCAGCCAGTCTCTTTGTTTGACACTGGTTTCAATAAACATGCTGGCTGCTGGAGATACCATTCAAGGCAATAAGAGATCTGTTGATCCTATCTCATGTCTAGCAAACACTACATCTCATGTTTAGCAACACTACACATGCTTAACAACCCCCCTGAGAGCAGTAAGGAACTTATCCCTTCCTTCTAGGACAGGAAGGGATAGAGATCTGCAAGCAGAGCTCTGCCAATCATTGTCCTCAGCATGAGCCAAGAATAAAATATAAGTTAGCATGAGCCTTATCTAAATAGACCTGTTAAATTGTTTCCAGTAGTGTGTGAATCTTCAAAGGCTGTGGGGACTGTGCTCCACAGGGTCTGTGTCATGTCCCTTGTCTCTGGTGACAGAATCAGTTCAATATGACTGCCACTGACAGTGTGTGTGCCATGTTCTTGTCCTGCTCTGAGACTGGGCCTGGCAGCTTCATTCTTAATATCGCCATCACCAACTATTTTCAGTGGTTCTCCCTGATGTTAGAATTGCTTAAGAAATGGAATCCTGCTAGACCTCTGCCAGTCTGGGAAAAGATAACAAAGGCACTAATAGTTCTTCAAACTTTTTTCATGGTTATTTCAATACATCCTTGTCTAATGGAGCACAGACATAGGTATGTTTTTCAGAATTTGCCATTGTAGCTTGCTCCCTGCTCAGCTGTCAGAATTAAGTCAGTATTTACATACATTACATAAATTTTATATATCTATATAAAATACACTGTGAGTATTTAATTCCAGTGTAGTGATGAGGTTCTCGCTTACAGCATTCTCCTGTGAGGAGCTGCCATATATCTTATCCATAAATTGCAGTAAAGTCTTGCCACAGTTAATTGTGGTGTATGATCTGATATATGATTTTATACAAAGTTGCACTTATGGCTGTGGGTCTCCAACACTGGTTGAGAATAGTTTAACAACCACATGGGCAGAGGATGCATGCAAAGAATGAGCTCCTGTAGACCTCTGGGTCCTTTGATGGGAATTTCCTTCCCATATCTAGTGATAGATGAATCCAGGTTAAATTAAAATATATGCTTGGGCTTTCTGCAGAGTCTATGGGCTCAAATAAAAGTCTCAGTGCATGTGAAGGTGCCATGACTAAGTGTAACAAGACCGTGAAAGTTTAAACCTGCTTTTAAGGGAATAATCTGTTGAATCTCAAGACAATGGTGTGTCTATCTAGGCTGGCAAAAAGGGATCCCTGAGTCAAAGAGAAATAGGATTGGAGAACTGATGAACTCTGACATCAACTCAGTGCTCTTCCACCTTTCCAATTCCCAAAACAATTCTGAAGAAAATCAAAGTAGAAAGCTTCATCTGTCATGAAGTGCAATTATAGACTACTTTAGATCTTGTAATCCTAAAATGGGGTGTTCCTTGGTGAATTTGTTTCTGATAAAAAAACAACATGCCTAGCATGCCATCCCCAGTAGGGAGGGAGACCAGAATAATAATCCAATTATGACTGGAAATGGTGATGTGATAATTAACTTCATAAAATCTTTTTCCTTCTTACATCAATATTTACAAATCCAGACAGTTTTGGCAGGGCTACTGGAAGATCATCACTTCTAGGGCTTGTTCTGTGAGTCTGTTCTCTGTCTGCTCACAAGTCTCACTGAAGTTCATAAAAGCCAGAAGATCAAACTGGAATTTTCATAAGGATGTCCTGATTTTTATGTCACTTTCTTCATCTTGTTTTATCATTGCTTTCTTGTTCAATTTCTCTTTGCTATTATTGGCATATTGTGCTCCTTCCATACTTACCTTCCTCAGTAATCCATCTAATCTTTTTTCTTTCACAAGAGATAGCTCCATTCCAGTTCTTTATTTACATCTGTTTTCCTATAATCATAGGTTTTACTCTAATATCTTCTGCATCTGTAATGCCTAACACTTTTGCATGTATTTAGATCTTCAAATCTTTTGAATGTGTGATGGTGGACTCCCAGATTTTTTTAAACACGTGTCCAAGTGGAATATAGCTGTTGGGAGTCATTCCAACACTGGTTTTGCAGTGCCTACTAATAGAGTAAACATGCAGACTTTAACTTCCCTACCCAGAGCTGTTTTCAGTTTGAGATTTCATTTCTTCAATTATACAGTTTTATAAAACCACTAGTATAGCTTCAGCTCTATTACTTTAAGGTAATTATTTTATTTATTTATGTAAAATAGGGAGCTTTGTATCAATATGGCTGAGTCTTTATCAGGGCTTTTGCTGGCTATATGTAGATTGAAAACAAAATGTTATTTGTGGAATATGTTTGCCTGTTACATCTAAGTGTCCTACAGGTAATATGTTTCATTATATGATCTATTTTTTGCAACAACTTATCTGGTTTTACTTTTCTTTTCTTGATTTTGTGAGTGGGAATGGGGCTGGAGTTGTGTATGTTTTTTTTTTATAAGCATAACCTGCACCTGTGCTACCTGCTTCAATGTTTCTCTGTAAAGCTTTAGTTAAATTAAAGAAGGCTGTTCAAGGAGGAGGAAACAGCAAGCAAAACAATAATGGAGACAAGTAGGTTATCAGAACGACTCCTAGCTGGAAAGTGTTCTGGTAAGATCCTTCACAAAAGCATGGTTTGCTGTCCTCAGTGCTGAAAGCCAAGGATCAGAGAATCCTGTCTTTAATGACAAGGGTATCTAAAGCAAAGAGCACTGCCCTGATTTTTGCATGTTTTGCTGTAGAGATGCACCTGTCAAACAGAGATACAGAGATGCAACAAGCAGCCAAGAAGTGTGAATGAACCTGCATTGTTAACAGCTGATGTAAACTTAGGAAAGGAGATGTGGGTACAGAACTCTGCTTCCTTTGCCCTCCCTCCTAGGTAACATATTTCTTTCAACATTATTTTTTGTTTGCTTCTATTTTTTTTACTTTTGTTTTGAAGCTTTTTCTTGAACTTCTGCTGTCCATCAGTCACAGGTCACTGAATATAAGAATCTTTCACATTCCAAACCCATTTGTCAGGTTAAAATGTCTGTGAGGCAGGAGAATAAAAGAGAACACTCAGTGAAAAGGAGGCATGGTAGAACTGGTTCCAAAGAATGATGCTTTTAAAAGGGAGAAAAACCCCCAGTTACATCTATCTGGTCAGAAAAACACTTCTTATGTTTGGCTATCTGTTGTGGCTGCTATGATGAAAAAGTTTAAACCAAGATGTTTTAGAAACTATATTAGCAGCATTCCTTAAAGCATGCAGAACTTTTCCTAATGCAATTAAAAAAACCATCAACTTCTATTCATATTAAATACTTTCTATATTTTGGCTATTCACAAAGTGAATAATCTAACTTCATTCCTTAGTACTAGTTTGTTTAAATGATGCCCAGATTTTAATGTTAATTTTCTACCTAATACAGATTATTATTTGAAATTAACCCTCTTCAAAGTTGTTCTTTTATTTTTTTCTATATTCTTAGCCATATGTTTGCAAACATGTGATTCCAGAGCTTATTAAAAGCACAGCTTTTTCTCAGTCTTTAATCACATTATAGCTACTAATGTACATCTTGCATATGGCTTCTCATTAAGAGCAATAGACAATGATAATACTAAACTAAAGGAAAGAATGAGGACCAGGGGAGATATTAGAAAGCTAAAGTTCCAGCTGCAGCATGAAATCACCTGTATTTCACACAAAAAATGCAGTGGGAGTATATTTCCATTACCATTGAGTTTTGCAATTCTACCAAGTCATTTGAAGCACAGCAAAACTCCTGAGCTATACACAGAAAGACAGTGCTCTTTCAGTAAGACATCAAATTGGATCAGATTGTTTAGACTGTGAAACAGAGTAAGTATAACAACCATGACATTTGTAAAATCTGTTCTTACCACTGTACGTACAGAACACAATTTTCATTGCCCATCTTTGAAATTAAACACTGGTTGAACATGACTGCACTAATTAGATACATAAACAACTTTTTATGTTGACTCTTGGTAGTCTTGCCTATGTTCTTTCCTTCTCCTTTTTGTGTACTCACAATTCTGCAAAGTATCAGCAGGCTTGGATGAAGTTATACCTTGTGTTTATCACAACTGGACAGACTAAATGTCTCTAATTTTGATTAGGTTTTTTTTCCTATACAGACTCTGTGTTTGCTTTTCTTCAAGATCATGATCCCTACAAACAAGATTAAGATCAATGGACAAATTAAGCAAACAATACAAAGACGACTTGCTTAAATAAGTAAAACAACACAGATAAGGTCTTAGGTTTCATAGTTATCTAATACATATCATATAGTGATCACTTTGCTTTTGTGATTAGAGACCCAAATGTTAATCATGTTATTATTGTCTAAGAAACACCAAACTTTGTCTGAGATTTTAAACTTTGTCTGAGATTTTAAAGTTGCTTAGATAAGAGTGAAAATAAAAATTTCTAACATGGTAAAAGGTATTATCAGTCAGAAGTAATAAATTTATTTGCAAAGAAATGACAGAGATCTACTATATGTATCCACTAATTTTTTGAGTCCCTACAGAATGAGTTTATTTTAGAAGAGGTATTTGGCATTATTTTTTAAAACCTAATCAGAGGTGAAAAAAGTGCTTTCCCTTTGACCCCATAACCAAAAATACCTGTAAATGTAAAAAAAAATGTCACAATGTATTTTACTCACCCTCATCCTTCCATTTCTTACTGCTGGTCCATCTTCTGCTAACCTCAACACATACAAATCCATTTTGTACTCTCTTCCTCCTCGAATACTAAACCCAAATCCTTTGGCTCCTTTCTCCAAATCAACGGTGAAATAATCAAAGTCCTGTACAGACAAACACAAAATGAAATACAATTAACTATATGGGCATTGTGGTATGCATTCAACAGAACTTTAAATTGATCTCTTCAAAAATGTATTGATCCACTTGATATAAGCAAAGGTCCATAGAGAGGTCAGGGAGGGAAACTGTGATGTAGCTTCTGATGCATTGTCAGCCAAGAGTGCAAGATCCATGGGAGCAGCAGAAAATAACGAGTAAGCTTGGGTTGGGCAGTCTACTGATTAGAGAATTAAACTGGAGTGCTGGGAAAGAGCCAACCCAAGCATCTCTGTAGATGCTAAGAAGCATCTTACAAGGTATGCACATGGGGATAGAGATACTGAAATGCACAATATTTTCATAGGTTTCTCTGGATCCCATTTAGGAATTTCAGTATTTTTCTTAAAATGGTTATGTGTCTGGTTTTGAAAACATGGACATACAAACCACCTATACGTGGTTCCAGCATATAGTGTCCAGAAGTTTGCAGTCTCCTGTTTAATACTTTTTGACCTCTGTTTTTCCTGATTTTATGTAAGGAGAAAGGAAGGTCTTTTTTAAAGTCTGAACTTTCAGCTAAATCCTCAACCTTCAAAACTGTCAGTAAATATCTGTCATCAGAGGAGTCTTGTCCAAGGTACCATAACTCTTCATCTAACTCATCATCGCTTTGAATTTGTCAGATCACGCTTGATGTCAAAGAAACTAGTTGCATGGGCTAGTTTCTACTCATCCAGACTATTACCAACAGAAATTTAATTTTATCAGTCAGAATTTCATTCCTTTATTTATTTATTCTGATTAGATAAAAATCTCAATTTTCAAGAATGCTGTAGAAATGCAGTCGGACCTAAGTACACCCACTGTCTGATGAATTAATACATGCCAAGAATGAAAAAAGTCCTCTGCTGATGAAAAGGCTATTTATGTTCGAATTTTTATTTCAACACTCCAGTACCTTAAAAATGGCATTAATTTAACATTATAGTCATACAATTATAAATGTAATGTTAATTTTCAGATCACACACATTAATACATAAATATTAATGGTTTGGAAGTAATTTCCTCTACAGAGGAGTAGTAACTCAGAGTAAAACCCTTTAATGTGACTTTTCCTTCCATAGTGGCATCTTCCTTACTAGCATCCATGACCTGTCCCTACAGACCCTGCAGCATTCTGTGTGGGTAGGGGTGCTCTGGGCATGTCTGCCTGTAAGAGCCAAAATGAGGGATGTGGGGCTCCAGGCAGCTCTCCAAAATGCAGCTTATTGCATCCATGATGTTACAGCACTCCAGGGCCATGGGTGGCAGAGCCTGTGCCCACAGCTGTCAGCTCCAGCTGCAGGCAGGCCTGGGGACCCTTAGTTTGGGTTACAATGCATTATATACTTTGCTGAGCATCTTAATGCAGTAGAACCAATCTATCCCTTAAATTTTATCTATAGCCTGTCATAACTACTATTCTCCAATCACTAAAAGTTAGTACATTACAGTTTAAAGCTGGAAGTTGTTTTTCGGTTTTCTTGCAATGGAAAATTCTGAGACATTTTTTCTACTTGCAGTGTCTGCTGACTTGTTTGCCTGTGCTATCTTTCTGCTTGGTAAAAACATCTTGTTTGAGGTGGGTTTATCCTTTGCTCTAAGCCATAAAAACCCCTTCTAACTAACAGACCCTTTGCCTCTTTGGTTATCCAGTAAGACTGGCTCAGCAATTCTTTCCTTCTGTATCAAAACCTGCTTTCATTTCTATTTCTTCTTCACATTCTACATTAAAAAAAAAATCTTTCTGCCACGCACACACATCTGTGAGACCTGTAAAGCTTCCATCCTTCCCAAGCCCTGCCCGTACCTGGGGCTGCCTGTACTCGGCCAGGGGGTACTGCCGGGTGTCGGGGGAGTGCTGCCTGTAGTCCATCAGCGGGGGCTGCCTGTAGTCCAGGGGGGGTGGCTGCTGGTAGTCCATCACCGGCGGGTGCCGGTAGTCCAGCGGGGGCTGCCGGTAGTCCGTGGAGGATTGCCTGTAGTCCGTGAACGGCGGCTGCCGGATGTCGGGCTTCACATCCTGCCTGGCTTTTACTTCTGACCTGTAGCTGAGGAAGGCAACAGTGGTTCAGTTTCAGAGAGTAGCAGGCCTCATTAGGAATTTGCATTGCATGCAATTGTGAGTGAGGAGTGAGAGCCAGCTGCCCGGCTGCAAAATTACACGGAACAAATTTTCACAGGGAAGCAAAACACTCAGGGGTAAATAGTTGAGGCAGCTGAAAACAGTGAGGGCTTTTGAAACATGGGCATAAGCAATTTTCCCTCAGGTCATACTGTGCTATTTTCCAGCTTGTATCAGTGAGATCAGGATTGGACTCAAAGGGACAGGAACAAAAAAGCATCTTGACTCCCACTTTGCCTATTTTGAAAATGAACCTGCATGTGAAAACACCCATTATATTCACTGCAAAATAACTGAGTTTATAAAGTGGTTTTTTCCAAATTAATATTTCTACAGAATAAGTGGAATATCTGTATAGTTTATATTCCTTTCCATCAACACAAAGTATCATTGTGAGCTTCTTAAGGTTAAAAAAGGATAAATTCTTTGTCTTAGCTGTTACCTTTTTAATGAAAGGTATTCTTTGATATAACATCTGTTATTATAGTGTGTATTATTTTATTATACACTCCCTATGATGCTATCTGGCTAAAAGCTATGTCAGTAAATGCATGTCAGTAAGTTATGAATAGAAATAACACAATGTGGAAAGAAAATAGATTTAGTTATGAGGAATTAATAACAAGTAAAATATCGCTTTAGCTGGTAAATGGTAACAAGGAGGTAGGTCCTAAAATTTGAAAGAAAATGTGACTTTCTGAGATACAGTGCCTAGTTATTTACTTAATTCAGATGGGAATTTCCCTTAGCACATGGAAATCAGCGCACAATGGCACTTCAGGGTGAAGTAAAGAACATTCCTAATGGTAAACTTCCCTACCTCAGCCATGTGGTGTGCTAAAGAGGCACAAAGTCCTGAACACTTTTAGCAAGGTAAT